TTAGATATTCATGTACTTGTATTCTCAACGTCAAGCTTAAATGCATTTCAGGGCACCATGGGAACCCTAGTTACACCAGTCTCATCTCACAGACTTGATTTCAGCTGGCAATTTCTTATTTAGTACAAATCTATGTACGGTTACTTTTCTTCTTGTATACTCACTGGGCTTGATGTCCATGTGCACCAGAGATGTAGAGTGGATGTACTTGAGTCCTCGTGTGACTTGTAAAAGCAGATCTTTCAGCTCCAGCTCGGACAGGTAGCTGAGTCGCCTGTAGTTCTCTGCAATGACATCTGACAGCGTACCTCCATTGCAGTACTCGTTCTGAATGAGCATATGGTCGTCCTCTGCCCAGGCTGAGTAGTACCGCACCACGTGGGGATGCTGACCCAGCACAGCGTGGGCATACACCTCCCGTAAGGCGTTCTGTCTGTGGAGGAGGGGAACAGATTGTTTTGATCAATTTACCTCTAAAGCAGGTTGTGTAGTGAAAACAAAAAAGGATGCCTCAGACAAGGCAAACTGCTTTTATTGTCTGGTCTGTCCAGTTTTACAAAATAGCACATGAATGATTTGGGGTGCATTATGTATTAGATATTACTGAGCAGTAAGAGGGGAAGTTACCCTAAAAAGTGGTAGTTTAAAGCATTACATGTAATTACAGTTTCACACAATCCTACATTAGATTAAGAGAATTTTCCTTGTAAAATTCATGATTCTATTGACTCATTTAAATATAAATTTCAACATACTCATCTACTGATCCTGCCAGGGGTTTCTTTGATCGCTTGATGGCATAGATGCAGCCGTCGATTCTTTTCACACATTTGAACACAGCACCAAATTCCCCACAGCCAATCTTCTCCAGCTCGAGGAACTCTGAGGCGTACCGGGACATCATGTTGCTTTCCATCATGGTGATCCTCTGCAGACAGATGGAGTGCTTTATCAAAACATGTACATTTTGAAACACTATTTTTCAAACTGGGCCTTTTCTGTCACATCATGAAGCTTGTACTCTAGTTGCTTCACAGTGGATACTTAGCATAACCACTGCTAATAAACAGGTTTCCCCAATGAACTGGTTTTAGTCAATTTACATATGAAAGGATTTAGAGTCGTGGCTGTTTCCACCATTTGTATCTGGAGCTACAGCAACTATCGCTTGATATATCCAATGATTTTGCACAAAACTGTATTCATAGTAATTGCATGTATCTTTTAAATTGAATTGTCTTTTAGGGGTGTTTTTTTTAAAATACGTTCTTTGTATAGACTATGAATAATCAATTTTAAAAAAACAAAAGTGTCTAATGAACAGAAATAAATTAACTATATACCTGAGTTCAAGCGTAAAAGTCTATATCAGTGTATGTCATTAATGCATATAATCATAAAAACATTTTATTACCTTGGAAGGTGGGAGGGCTTCCTCTTCTGCTTCACCATCACTTGCCTCCATGTCTTCACCACATGAACTGTAAGATCAAACACGATAGTGGGTGATGGTTAACATTCTATACAGCAGGGGGCAGCACTAGGGGCTTCACAAGCACATGGCAGAGTTCACCAGTAACCATGAGGTCTTGGTTCCCAGCCAAAAAGTCTGGCCCCAGTCAACGGCTTTAACGTTTCTGGTTATTATAACAATAGGTTTGATCTGTGTACACGTTGGTGGTTAAAAGGTGCTCAACACTCCTCTCAGTATGTGTGGTTAACTACTGTCTCATTACTGATATAACAAATGTGTAAAGTTATAAAGTTAAATAACAGGACAGGATGGAAAATGTGCATCCAACATATTGACTGCAGCTGGTTTACTCATTAGGCCCCTTTGGAGAACCACCAGGTTTTTTCCAGTGCAACTGCTAGACACCCGAGGGCAGAGGTATTTTTAACACTAGTATCTGTATGAGAACATCTGAGCAACATACTCATTCCAGTGTGCCCGTTTCCTGTTGTTCCTCTGTTGAGTGGCGGACTGGATGAGGAGGGAGTCTGGGGTGAATGGGTTAAAATTGACCAGAGGGGTTTGCTGTCTCCTGCCGCCGTCTGTGTTTGGCTTTCCTGAAGCCTCCACATTCTTGAACAGGGCAACTCTCCTGCTGGAGGACCCTGGGCCTGAGCCCCTGGCTCTGGACAGCAAACTCTGAAAAAAGACAGATTTATTGCTTTGTTAATTTGAGCCCAGTAACAGAGACACCCATAGGGCTAAGACTGTAAAAAGAGGACTACTTGACTATGTGATTGCATATAAACCCAGTTAACAAACATTACTGGCTGGTGTTAGAAAAAAGTCTTTAGGAATATCTAGTTTAACATTTGGGGTTTTAAAGAAAGTGCTGTGTCAATGCACGACACGCCCAGGCATAGAACAAATCATCTGGTAGGCTGACTACAGTGAGTGTTATGCAATGATTACACATGTACAGTAAGTGGGTCACTTGGTCGTTAACCGACACAGTGATTTGTATGTGCTTAGTGTTGCATATTTAAACTCCAAAACATTTCCTGACACGATCCAATCGTGCAAGCACATGGAAACACACAACCCCATCCATGTTTCAGATGTGCAAACTGGAATAAGTAACTTTTAAAACATTTGAGGAAATCTAACATGTGTTTTGTGTGTGCTCATGTGAGCAGTTCTCCAAAGCCTGATCTGCGGCCCTTGCAAAACATCAGTAAAATCTGTAGTAGAATATAGTAATAGTTAGTATTTCGGGATAATTTAACTTATGCACAGACAAATACTAACCTTTGGTGTGTGTGGTGTGTCAAAAAGCCGGAGTTTTCTGAAGGTTTTGTGTGGAGGTGTGTCGGGACAGTCTGGGATCGGGGAGCTGGATCCTTCCCCGTCGTCCTGGACGTAGGACCGCTCCGGTGAGCCTCCGTACAGCCGAGAGCCTTTCCTCGGTGACGGCGAACAGTTGCTCGGGGACCGCAGATGAGACGGTGAACCGAAGCCCTCCTCATCCCACAGCTCCACGTCGTCGTCCCCGCCGGACTGGTTCAAGGGGCTGCTGCCGCCGTCCAGCCGTTTATCGACAGTCTCTCGTCGCACAGGCATCGGGGAATCCATCTCCGTGAAGCCGGACTCTCCTCCGGTACTGTTGTTAACATCCTCGATGGGCTCGTCCTCCCCGTCGCTGGATGTAAACTGTAGTTTTTGACGAATGGGCCGACTCTTCGTGGAGGGGGATCCGTGCCGACGGCGACTGTAGCTCGACATGATCAGGATTTAAACCCCGGCTTCGTCGACGGGTGAAACACGCGGTTGGACTTCCACTACCGTGGTAGTGGCGTTTACGACCGAAAAGACAAACCTGTTGAAACTTTGAACTACCTTAAAACAAAGGTATCGAACTCAAAACTACAACAAACTACGGTGAAGCGCTTAAATGTCCGTTAACATCACAGGGGGGAAAAAGTTAGCGTGGCTGCTATTTCCTTCACGCCCATCCAGCGCTGAGAAGTAGCTCCGGAGTTAGCTTGTTTTCCCCGTGAGAACAAAGTCCACAGTCGGAGTTAGACAGAAACCCTCCCGGTCCGGTCGAGTATCGGTGTCCGTCCCCTCCTCTCGGTGAGCTCCCCGACACGCAAACACGTCTTTCCGCAATAAAACCGAACCAATGTTTACACTGAAACTTTGAATGACCCGACAACTAGCTCTTCCTATCACGCGCGTGGCAAAGGGCTTCCCGCGACCGTTGGTCACGAGATCTCGGGCGGCCAATCACAGCGCGCTGCAGGAATTTGAAAGATGGGCGTACCTGAGACTTTTCGGGAGGCGTTACGTCATCAGTGGCGCAGCAACAATGTGGCGCGAACCTCGGAGTCAACGCGTCCGCCGTGGAGACGGTGCGATCAGAGGCGGAGGTACACGAGACGATGTAATCAAAACACAAGGTGGTTCCTACTCCGATCAGTCTCCGCAGGGTTCAGTACTAATAAACCTCTTCTACATGAATAAAAACGGTCTGAGGCGGTTTAATTCCCAACTACCACCACAAAGCCATCTTAAAAACTGCATGACGAGGGTCAATTCTGCTTTACGCAAGTAATTTAGACCCATGTTCACTTTATATCATTTCCATCTGTTTAATTTAGTCAATTTATCATTAATTAGAGCTCTGGTAGATGAGCGAAAACCTTTTTAGTTTTGATTCTTGTATTTATTTATTTGTATCTTTACTGGTTGCTCATTTGCTTTTAAGTTTAGTTTTTTTCATTTTATTATTATTTATTATATCAAGTGCTATTGTTTTATTAGTGTCCAGTAAAAATCGCAGAAAAACAACATCAAGCTAGATGTGTTCGATTATATAAGACTACAATAATCTATTTATTTAATTCAGTCTCATAACTGTTTAATTGTTGTGTATAAAGTATGAGAAAATAGCAAAAAATGCCCATCCTTGTTCCCTGATGCTCAAGAGAAGACGTTGAAAACATGAAAATATCAAGTTTACCCTTTTAGAAAACTTACATACTCACATTTCAAAAGCTGGTGAGAAAAGAGGTAAAAAAAAGTATCAGTTTTCAAATTTGTTGCAGATTAATTTTTAGTCAGACCACTAATCTATTCTTTGTTTTTAACTGGTTTCTTGAAATAAAGTGCCACGTAATAGCAAGGACAGATTTGGGCCCAACAACAAACTTTTGCACAAGGGACAATTGGAAAAATGTATGTGGTCATGATCATAACAGATGAACAGATCATAGTAAATTAACTTTACATCTGAGCAAACGTTAAGGCACTCAAAATCAAGTACAGACCATTAATCACACTTTTTTTTATTAGAAATAGCATTAGCTGTACACTGCACTGTACACTGTGCACCATAAACATTAGAAAGCATTTTTCTCCTCCCATTTCTTTTGGCTGAGGAACAAAATAGCATAGCGGAACTCCAGTTATCAAAATACTATGTACACATAAAAGCTAAGTTCTTTTGTGGAACAAAAAAACATGGAGGAAGACATATTTCTCTTTATGAGATGGTTTTGATCCTAAATCATAGTCCATAATGAGTCCATCAATCATCCAGGCCTGGTGACTCTCCTTGTTGTATTCTTGATGCTATTCTGATGGCTTCTTCCAGCGAAGGCTGATCACTGAGCTACAGAGGAAAAGAAAACAATGTGCATCATACAAACTGATTGACAAACTGATAATCACTGTTAGTTGATCAGTACTACTGATTTAATTTATTTACTCTGGCGCCCCTTTAAAGGCATTACCAGCTCTATCTGTGATTGAACTGAATTTCCTTGATGACAGTCACACGGGGGTAAAGGTGGAAAGACTGCCTTTGCTTTAGTAATTAACATGGTTCAACATGTTTTACATGATAAAGGTTAGTCACCAGACCTGCAACCTTTGCTGCAAACGTAGCTCCTCAGGGGTTAAGGGCCTGAATAGTTGATACATTGTAAAAACATTTACATTATATGTAGTTAAAGGAAATATATTTTTGCATGTAGTGAATCTGTTTGATATAGGTACAACCAGTTTGTCATTGTGTAGTCACATGGTCACTTCACCGATGGAAAACATCAAACCTAATTTAAGGTTAATTCAACTCATTTTCCTCTGCTTTGGCTAAGAACGATTTTTGTTTGTGTCCGCGCTAAATGAATAAAAAAACACAACTGTAAATTACTATTTATACAATTTCCTGTTTGAAAGAGCAGTAAATTATATATACAACCAAACATCCTGTGGTTGTAAATTTCAGTTTAGTCTGAATGCACCAGCAGGAGGGATGACACATCTCCACCCCCTGAGCTAACCCACTCAGGATTTATAGTGTTTAAGCAAATGCGAATAAAGAGGGTGGGATGTGGGGTGTGATTATGTGGGGGGGCTTAACTTAAGTACCCTTACATTCTGACTGAAACTCCTATCAGTATCACATACAACTCCTGTCAGTATCATGTGAATAAGAAAACTGCAATTTTCAGCAAAAACAAACAACAGAAAAATGGAGCAGGCTCTTGGACTCTCATTGACACAACATAGGACAACAAATGTACCCAGTCTTCATCATATCGTGAACTAAATAGATTCACAGATTGGAAATCACCCCACCAGTCTAATCACTTCTATGAGGTCATTCTACTAACCTGCACCGCAATGTGAGTGCCATTGGAGGTGGCCAGTAACGTGACAGGGTGAATTCCATCTTGTTCTTGGCTGTAGCCAGCCTCCTCCACTGTTTGGAACGAGGCCATGTCGGGTGTCATGATGGCCACCTGAGGGAGACAGACATTGTGCTCAGATCTATTTACTGTGATGTGGCGTGACAAATCAATTAGTGACCTTTTGTGACACATTCGAGGCCAGGTCCAACAGAGAACTGGTCGAGCACCATAAAGAGTTAATTTGGTAATTTGCCTTGACATGACACAAACACTAAAGACTGTGATGTGGCTGTTTAAGTACTATTGACTGGTCCTAGGAAGCACATTTATTTCTAAACTTAGGAACTTAAACACACTAAACTCTTATCACATGACGTGTTAATATACTACTTCAGTGTTGTGCATTAACACAATACACGAGACAACATGAAAATTTTATCCAACATTTTTTAAAAATACTTCAATGCTGTCCCCACTGAACTCTGACAGTTTTTACCTGTTCGTCGGAGCCGTCTGTTGTTACCATGGTAACCGAGTGAGCACCTTGTGTTGCCAGTTCATGGGCTGGGATGGTTATGGTTGTGCCTTCTTGAGTTACCATGGTGATTGTGCCACCCATAGCTTGTAAGTCCGCTTCAGAGATACTGACCTGATGTGAGACACAATACAGATTTAAGATTAAGTTTCATAGTAAATCACTCCGGGTCTTTGTTGAACAAAACATTGTCCACAAATGTTCTCTTCAATTTTCCTCTTCTAGTTTCATAATGATGTTGCCTTATGGCCTTTTTAGTTTAACATAAAAATACATTCAATCTTTATTTGTAGAGGATTTTTCAGCATCAAGTGTTTTACAAGACAGCAAAAATAAAAGGAAAAAGATAAAAAACAAAAACAATCCAGTAAAAACACATTAAAAAGTTAATAGTTTTAAACTGTTATAACAGAGATACCAGACAAATAACAAGAACAATCAGGACAATGTCTTCAATTAAAGCATGGAAGCTTTTATGAAGGGACTCAAAAGACATTTCAATTCAGCTGACCTGATGTCCTCGGGCAGATCCTTCCTGAGCCTCTGGGCCTGCACAACAAATGCTCTGTCTCTTGGTTTTCTACTGGCTCCTAGAACAGATAATAACCTCTGCCCGAGGAACTGATGCTAACTACCAGGACTCGAGGCACTAAAAGGCCATGGGGAGAAGCAGTGAAGAACCTTAGCAGTAATCAGGAATACCTCTGTTAAGCCAAATTAGCAGGTATACATAGGTTTTTTTAAACCCACTACAAAGGCGATTTGGAGTTTGCCTTTCTTTTCAGGGTGTCATGTTTCTATCACTGCCGATTAGAGCCAATTGAACCTTGGCTCGTGTAGAGTCCCTTGACCTGGGATTGAATAATGATTGTATCCATTTTCCATTGCAGACAAAAGCCAGATGTTAGTGAGTGATGGAGGGTTTTTGTGACCAGTGGAAAAAAGGCTGAAAATGCTTTCAGATATGGACTCCACAGATCCATGCACCAAAAAACAATTTTACAGGTACGATGATAAAATTCAATTTGAAAGAGGAAATTTGGTTTCAAAGTTGAAGTGTTATATTTGCTGCTGAAGGTTTTCTTGAAAAATCTATCTGTAATTCACTTCGTTTTTAGTTTTTTTTTCAGTTTGGATAATGGGCGTATTTTCTGGCTGCAATTTTTCTTCCATTCCTACTGCTAATAATCCTTGCGAGTTGATAGTCTTGACTTGAATTTACTAAGTATCAGCTTCAAAATACCCTCTAAGGTACTCTGTGATGCTAAAGGACTCAAATTTTTGAAACTGTATGAAAAGTATGAACTACTCACCTGCTGTTGTGTCCCGTCCTCCTGCGTTACCAAGGCAATATGCTGCTGACCAACCATATCTGAGTTCTCCACTGGAAGCTGCTCTGAGCCGGAGTCATCTGCCTCAACCACTGTAGCTGAGTAACTCACGTTAGGGTCATCAATAGCATCTGAAATAAGATCGGAAGAATTTGTTGCTATTTCAAATTATGTTATTCTTATTCAATTTATTTTATCAATTAAAACGCAATCACGATTCTGATGAATCATTTGTTCAATAAAACGTCAGAAAAAGGTTAATTAAGATCATTTCCTATAGCCAACCTCATGTATTCAGAATGATAGAATGTTTTATTCCAACATTAGACTCAACCTTTAACATAAATATATGTGTGAGAAAGAAAAACATCATGGCCATGAAGCTAATCAGCTAATCAAATTAAATCTAATCTGATGCATCTAACAGATCTTAATAAAAACTTAATCATGATCTTTACACAAACCTGTTGGTGGTTCAAAGTACGTCTCCTGTTCCTCCTCGATGGGCTCAGTGTCATTGTGGGCTGTGCGTTTGTGCATGGCGAGTGTGGAGATCTGTTTGTAGGTTTTCCCACAGTGGTTGCAGTTGTAAGGTTTGCAGGGCGTATGAACAACATGATGTTTGTAAAGGCTGGAGTATTCTGTGAAGCGCTTTTCACACCCAGGCACTGTGCACACGTATGGTTTCTCCCCTGATGAAGCAGGACAGAAGTTACACAATCATCTTAGTTTTTTATATTATTACTGTGAGAAGTTGTGGCCTTACAATATTTAAGGGCCTTGACATAATGTGTGTTGTGATTTAACAGTATACAAATTTTAATGAAATAATTTGAATTAATTCACTGCTTGCTGACTCATGAATTACATGGAGCAGACAAAATAACAGGCTGAGGAATAAAAAAGCTTACCTGTGTGAATCCTCATATGGTTCTTGTAGTTGGTGGCACTAGCAAAGGACCGTCCACAAGTGGGCTCAGAGCAGTAGTACGGCCGCTCACCGGTATGTGTTCGGATGTGAACTTTACGAATGTTGGAGGTGGTAAATGATCTGCCACAGCCATCGACCGGGCATTTAAAAGGCTTCTCTCCTGCCAGACAAGAAATGGGAAGGAAGGGTTTAAAGCTAGGGTCTGTAATTCTGGAAAAGCAGGCTACACTTTGAAAACATGCAACTGATACATCCCACCCCCTCTCATCTGCACTCTGGTAAAAGTTATACCCCCAAAACACATGAACGTGCACTGACTGAACTACTAGAAGCAGACTCTTCCATGACTCGCTTGCTAACTTCTGGCTATTGCCTCTGCTTCAACAGTGTAAGTCTCTCTGGCTGAAGACTCTGGTCAGGCACAGTGACAGTACAGGCACCATCTTTTTTTATTTGAAACAAATTTTGAAAACAAATTACCATTCATTACAGTTTTAAATCTTCCAAAGCATTATGCAAGGGAAAGTCGAGTCTAAATGAATTTTCAGTTCAATAATGTGACCAGATTAATGTGTAAAAATTGAAAACAATTTAATTTTAATGTAAAGTCTTAGACATTAAACGTGTCTCTCTATTAGGTTATACAACTCTATAAATAACATAACTGCATAAATCGTGAATTTCAAAAATAAACTGCAACATCTTGGCGTTGTGCTTCTTATGATGACCATGTGCCTGAAAACTCCTCCAGCACTTTGCTGGCTCTCGGCAAGATTCAGCTCCAAATGTCTATTCAACAGTTCCTTGCACTTCGTTCAGCCAATCCTGGCGCTAGACTACTATCTGTGTTGTTTCAAAAATCAGGTGGTTTATGACTCTGGCCTCTTAGTTTAAATATTTTGTCAAAATAACAGAATATCAGCTGTTCACATTCACTCACTTTAGTACAAAACAAAAAGCAGTCATCATTTCAGCTTCAACCAGAAGCAAAATTGCAGTTTAACCCTGTGTCACAACCATGACATATATATACAAGGTATCTATACAGCTTCAGGCTTACTGTATACTGCAATAACCTTATGACTGTGGTCGAGTACCTGTATGAGTCCGTGTATGCTTCTGAAGGTCACCGGAGGTTTTGAAGGACTTGCAGCAGTTCATCTCCTGACATCTATATGGCTTCTCCCCTGTGTGTGTGCGTGAGTGACTCTTCAGTCCATACCCTAAAATAAACAAACAGAAAAGGAGTCACAGACATTCACTGAAGGGCTTATTCCCGGTTACGCAGCACTAAATCTGATTTTACAGTGTTAATTATTAGGTGCAAATCAATACAAGATTCGCACAGTAATTTGCCCCAAAAATTTTCCCCTGAAATATGCAAAGTCAAGAGACGAGGGATAATATGTTCCGATGTGTAAAACCATTTTACACGTTACAATTGTGATTTTAACAGTCAAAGTCCAGGAATAACTATATGAAATTGTTTAAAAGTGACAAAATCAATGTTCAACACTGATACCTGTAGCAAACTTCTTCCCACAGCCTGGATAGTCGCAGACATACGGTTTGTCTCCGGTGTGGGAGCGTTCGTGTACCTGTGAGAAGCACAAAAAAAAAAAAAGATCAGCAGTGAGGCTAAAAAATTTGCATGTAGCTAACAAATAGGGCTGCACGATATTAGGAAAACAAATGCTATATACTGAATGAGAGAGAGAGCCTGAGAGAGACAGAGAGAGATACGTGTGTTGCACATGTTGATATCGCGATGATGATAGATTTTCCAGTACATTTCGCAGCCCTAATAACAACATCATGGGAATATGCTTCTGATATCTGCTTATACTATCTTTAAACTATCCCATACTTGAGTAGAAGCAAGCAAACGCTACCACAACAGCCACACTTACCTTGAGATGATGGGCAGTGGTGTAGAGTTTACCACAGCCCTCGTATTCACAGCGGAAAGACTTTTCTCCTACATTTGTGACCCTTGCTTGCCTGTTGTCTTGACCCTGTAACACAATCTGAAACAAGAATGGGTTAGACGTCATCGTTCAACCTCAATAAAAGGATAAAAAGTCATGGGAAAAAAACTGTAGAAAAGATTCTGTACCCGCATGTGAACGCCATTGTCTCCTTCCACTCTGCTGAAGGAGCCTAAGGGATTTTCTATATTCTCCACCTTAGGAAAAAGTTAGAGTACATACGGTCAGAATTATTATGAACATTCACAGTCAAGGGAAATAAATATGTTATGTATGTTATCTAGAACTTTAAAAAGTTAAACAAGATAAACCACAAAGTCTATATTTTAAAAATCTAACCAGAACAGGTTAATATCAATATGGTTCAATAACAAATGCTTCATATTGTTTTATCTATAGAGATTGCATACATTTCAGCTTTTACAAAAAATACAAATAAAATAATCTGCAGCTTTTTGTCGATCATGTTTTGAATTCTTGTCATTTATTTTTTATTATTGGAAATAATTTCATGTTTAATTGACACTCAGCATGCAATTTACAATGTTTTTTTTTCAACCATGTTGCTGAACCCCAGTGACCTGAAGCACTGCCTTAGCCTCTATTAGTACACTGATGTGGAATGCTTACCTTGGTGGTGTACTGTTCAAGCACGCTGATAGTCTCAGGGTCGATGGCAGTGGCTTCAGTCTGCAGGTCTGCGATGGTACCGTCAGCCTGGATGGCCAGGATGGTGTTGGACTGGGGCATGTGCACTGTGTGCTGGATGTAGGCCGTGCTGCCATCCTCCAGCTGCACCTCCTGCAGGCCGCTCTGGTCATATGTATCTTCACAGAAACAAGGAGAAGGATTGAGAGACAAAAATAAGATTTCTGGCCTTGCACGCAAAACCTGAGGTAGTTGTTTACACAGAGAGAATGGATGCAGTGTGTTTGTAAACACATTAAGCTTGCACACAAGTTCTCTAGAGGATGTTAAGAGGTGTTGTGAAAAAGATATAGCAGAGGAAATTAGGTGTGACAGACCAATAAATTATTTTATTTTTTCTTTACTTAATTTCTCTATTTTGCTCTCGTCCCTTCATTCTGAGTTAAATGGTAAATGGTCTGTATTTATATAGTGCTTTTCTAGTCTTGCCATTCACCTACACATTCATACAGTGAATCTATTGGCAGCATTTTCCCCACACTTCGGCATTCAGATGGGAAGACTGGGATCGAATTGTATTCAGGTTAGAGGAGGACTGCTCTACCCCTTCAGCCACAGCTGCAACTTGTCTGTTTTAAGTCTGTAATGTTTTGTCTTAAACTGAGAAAAATAAGAATAAAAACTCAATTGTTCAAAAATGACTTGCAGAATTAACTCATGAAACATGTCAACATTCTTTCAACAGACTTTAAGTCTTTACATTGGTATGAGATTCAATTTGATTTAAGACTATGACAAAACGTTTATAACAGCAATAAAGAAAGAGAAGAAAGGGATAAAAATATCTGCAAAAGGTTGTAGGCGTTAAACGTCTTTTACCTTTGGGTGTGTGAATGTAGGCTGTTGTTCCATCTTCAAGCTGAACTGCCTGTCCATCTTCAAGCTGTAAACTGTCCCCTCCTACAACAGAAAAAAAATCTATCAAATGATATAATAAATAAATTAGAACCACAGTGACTTGATTGCATTAGGTAACCCAGAGGAAATACAAATAAATCTGTTTCCCATATTGAGCTACAAAACCTAGCAACAGTGGTGGGTGTTTTGTCAGCTCACAACAGAGTAACAATGAGTACTACTGTTCTATGTGGAGATACAGCAGTGTTTTACCTGATTTAGGCATCGACACATGCTGAACGTAGGCAGCAGATCCGTCTTCCAGCTGGATCACCTGGCCGTCCATGATGTGTCCGTCTGAAAAGGAAGCTTTGGAGTCATGTTGGATGTATGCAGTGGATCCATCTGCTAGAGTGACAGCCTGCAGGCTCACTGTGTCCATGCTCTCCATCTGATCACCATCTGTGGAATTATTTCACAATAAATATATGTTAATTGGCAACTTAAGAAGTGAGAACACTGTGGCAGATGTATTGAAACAGCTACATTGCCTCACTATAAGTAGTCCTCTGGAACTCAACACACTTTAATGTGTTAAATAATAAGATATTACGATGTACTTTACAAAAGACCAGCAAAGAATAAAGGACTCAACTCTTTAGATTGTCTATAGTAGATGTTCAAAACAGAAACAGTGTGATACGTTTTATAAGTTATATATAGTACACATTTGTTCTTGTACTTTGACACTTTAATTTACCTTTGAGCTGTATTTCTTGTATGAAAGGTGCTATACAAATAAACTTCATTATTATCATGAGATTATTGAAGTTTGTGTTATTTGTTCAACACACACATGCACAAACACACACACACACACAATACAGAAATTATGGAATAAAATAAGAGAACATTTCGAACAGTTGTCCATCCTGAGCAATGCTGTGGGTTCATATTGACAATAACCGGTATCAGAGGGTCAAGTGTGGAAGCTCACCTGCCACGGTCACAGCCTCTGTCAGACAGAGAGTGACCGGCTGCCCGTCTGCATCGTGAAACTCTGCCATTCCCTGCGAGTCCCGATTTATCTGGGCCAAGAGCATGCTTCAGCTGCTGGAATGACACATGCATAAGACACATTTGAAACGTTCATGTAAGAGACACACAATGGCATAATGTACTGCACAATATAATAGGGCTAGTGGTCATGCAATATATATGCACAAAAGGAAATGATAAAGGTCTTATAATTACTTCAGGTAGTCATCATGTTCAAATAAAGCCCTTCGGGTAAGACAATAAAGCATTAATTTATGACTTCTTTTTCTATATACTTTACTCCAGACCTTCTTAAGGATGAATAATTGTCATGCCATCGCTACTATGTGTGACAATGTTCTAAATATAATTCAAGGAGGAGCTATTTAAGACATAGCTCCACAGGATCAACAGGGAGACTGTAAAGTTCAAAACAGAGTGTCAGATTTGTGAATCCTAAATCGATTTATGGAAATACAAGAAACAGCAATTTGCTGGGTGCTACCTTAACATCTAGACATCAGTCTAGATCCAGATCAAAAAGCACTGAACCTGGACTTGTCTAATCTGGACCACAACTTAAGCAGAAGCTAATAACAGTTTGAAATAAGGTTAAGGTGATTCCACAACCTTGTTAGTGACGGCGAAAGTTGCAATTAAAAGTCAATTCATCTATCAAATTAAAATGAACAATGCATGATCATTTCGAGGGATGTAGTTTAGTCTCAGGTGCTGTTGACAGGTGTTCCTAATATTTTGTCCAACACGTTAAAATCAATGCGTGTAAACTAAACGACAGACAAACTTCATTTTATAATGCAATACAGTTCTACAGTAACCTCTGTTACTTTCATTAAAACAGGATTCATTGCAGGACTACATCAGATTTATATGTATGTTCTTGACAAGGAACATATAAACATGAGCACAGAAATGAAACAATATCTTTAAACTTGATACTGACAAAGGTGCACACTTCAAGTCAAAGCCTCAAGTTCAGGCAATAACACATAACTACCTTTAAGACGAGTGTCATGTCAGTGACTGTTTTAATGGAGCATGATCCCAGACATATTTCTATATAAGGACACATTTAATTGTGCTCAGGTAAAACACCAAGCCTGGTGATTTGGAGCAGTAGGGATTGTGATCGAGCTTTGTTTACGCCTTCATTTAACAAGTACGTTTAGCTTCATGTATCACTGGTATCAAAGACCAGCATTTATAGGACCTGCATGTTACTATAGACGATATTCGACTTGTCTTCACCTGGCTCTGATCTGATGTCAGTATCTGCTGTCGCCGGTGCTGTTTTTGGCGCTTGTTGATTTGAATGTAGTATCTGGTGCTAGCTAGTTAGCACGCTAGGCTATGCTATGATGTACACAAGCATGAGTTGCCACAAATGTCGCTATGATCGTAAACATAATGTGACAAGCGTGTGGAGCCAGCGGTGTTGTCAGGCTGTCGCTGGCACTGACGGCACGTATTTACGGTCAGATACGCTTATAACGCCCTGTCATAACGGAGCTAGCGTGTTAGCCACCGTGCTAACTCCTGTGGTAACAACGCAAAAAAAAAAAAAAAAAAACCCGCTGTCACGACTTTTTATTTCACGGCTGTCATGAAACAGTTTCTCGAATACCACCAGGCTAGAAGCACGCACTCGGTAGCGGCGAGCATCTGGAGTCTCTGCTGACTGTGTGTGCGGGCTGAAGGGGAAGCTAGCTGCCTCCGTGTAGCTTCAAGCCGTGAAATTAGCAACGCAGTTCGGAAACAAGACCGGGGAACCGCTGAGCTAAGAAACGATAACATAAGCATTTTGACCCGCGGGGTGTCACTTTATTTCAGCTAAAACTGTCCTCTCTGTGCGTCCTGAGAGTCCGCGCCGCAGCGTGTCGCGCCCCGCTCCTAGTAGAGATGGCTGTAGGAATAATGCACACTGGGTAAAAACCAATTTATAAACTAACCTCCGAAAAATTTCCAACAATTCCTCCTGTTCGACCACCATGCACCAGTGCAGGAAACGCTCCGTGGTGCCCGCACGCCGGGAACATGTACAGCAGCACTGTCCCCCGGCCCGCCCCCCTGCGCACCAGGCCCCGTGGTTGGCTGGAGGCGCACAAATCCCGCTGCTATTGGCCAATCGACATGTCCATCAGTGACGATTCGACGCTGGCGTTTGCAGCTATTCATCTTCCCGGGCCCCTGCCAGACGCCATTCCGCGTCGGTTTTCATATTGTCTACGGGTTCGGACTGAAAAGGCGAAGCGCCCTCGTCGGAAATTAATATTTAAATTTGAACGCAAGACGCGGTCCGACTGAGGCCGTGTGTTCCCGAGCCGCAGTGAGCCGCGGGATGCGGTTAAGTTCGGTTTTTAAAGCGACGTAAACAGCGACGTGTGGGGAGGTTTTTCAGCCTCCATGTTGAAAACAAGGTGATGTGGGAAAAACAGAGGGAATGTGGGCAATGGAGTGAAGAGAGATCTGTCACAGTGGGGCTAGCATCACATCTGGAATACACAGGCGGCTGAAGAATCAATAAACGAATCATTGAAAAACACAACCAATGCAGATGTTTCCACACGTGTTCACTACATGGTGTAGTTCGACAATCATGCTATAATTCATCATCACAAAGTTCATTTGAGTGATCAGATAAAGAAACATCTCCCTCTTGAAGGGAGGGGTCTCCTCTAAAGTTTAACGACTTGACCAGGGTCACTGGGTAAGATTATGAAAATGATGTGATTGATATTCTTATAGTATCTGTGGGATATTGGTCCATGTTAGATAGTGCTCCACATCACCATCATCAAAAGACCAAATGGAGGAATATTTTTAAAGTAATGTGCCCTTCCCTGATTCACAAATCTGTTTAAGGTCACATTAAAGCTGAGCTGTTGGCTCATGATGGTCCAACATTGTTAATGTTGGTTTCGACACTTTTGCATAAGGTCTGCATCGTTAAAATGCATAATGTCTAAATATAAAGTGACCTACGTAAAGTGTTTTACAGTTTACTTACACAAAATATAATTTTGCACAGTAGTGTTTATAATATGTTCATATTTTCTGCATTTTTAAGTGAATTTCCCAACGTGGGATCAATAAATTTGATTTTATTATAAAATAATCTATGTAGTATAGTACGTCATTATTTGTGCTGTTTGTTCAAATGCCCAGGCACAGAAAGGTGTACTTAATAACCTGTTCACCTCAAACAATCATACAGTTGAATCATTTAAATAATGTGGTTTGTGGTGCTGTTGAATTATACTGGATAATGCAGCCTCCAGAGAAGTTGAAGCAGCACGTAACCTCAGATGTCCCAGTTGTCCTAAACTCAGAGGCAAAGAATTTCACAGTATGACTCCAGACCTGCAGAGCGCAGCTTTACCGAAGGTCTTTACTTATTGGTTTAGTGAGCAACAGAGTCTCAACCAGGATATACACTCAGCTCAGGTACACTGACATAATTTACAACCAAGCTGCCATGGAATCATTTTTTATGCTGCACATAATCAATTGTGTTAAAACTGATGTAAGATGTAATTCAGTGATATTTGATACTGACTGAGGTCATTGTAATTAGTGGTGTTGGAAACATGTTTTTGGTATAAATCCCCCAAAAAAAGATGATTCTTTTGTCATGTGTTCATGGTGAAAGTTCATACGTGTGTAAATTCATTTTACCAGCACACGTGATTACTGATGCCTTTCCATTGTTTCTCGTGTTTCTCTGGTTGAAAATGTTGCTCAGCATATTGTTGTCAATTTGCAAAGCAATGTATTTTAGACAAGAGCTGTGCTGGTACACTTTTTGACTAAACTTCAAACATGGAGTTACATCCACATAAATAAATCACTCACAAAAAAAGAAAAGTGCAATATAAAGAAAAAATATTTCCAAAATAGGAAACAAATTGAAAAGTGCATTGTGGATTAACATTTATGGAATCCAAATGATGAGGGGAAAGCATAATCGTCCTTGTCACTACACTCAAGACAAACAAGAGTAATATTCAACAAGTCAAAAGTAAAGTCAGAGACAATATTGTCAACAATAACAGAGTTAGTCACAGCGGAAGCAGCGTCATCTGCGGCGCGTCGTCGGACGCGAGTTCAGGAGCGAGCATGAACCTGCTGCTATGGATGAGCTGCGATCAAAGCCTCCAGCCGTGAAGCGGAAAAAAGAGGAAGAAGTGGACGGAGGACTCGGAGGAATCGAACTGGAAACCAGACTGAGCGAGCAGGTCCGTCTGCACAGACACCTGTACGACCACTCCATGAGGGAGCACCGAGACCACCACATGGCTCAGAGGTCCTGGGGGAAGATCGCGCAGACTCTCGGGAAAGACGAGGTTTTCTGCAGGAAAGTGTGGAAGAACCTCCGCGACCGATACGTACGGGCGAAGAAACGCGTGCACGCTCGCAGCGGCGAGGCTGAAGAAGAGAAGCCGTCACCGATTGTCATGGACATGGAGTGGCTGTGTGACTTCGTCAAACACCGGGAGAAGGACACGGAGGTATAGAAGATGGGTCTGATTTGACTTTGTTGTCGGTTTAATATTTGTCTTCTGCTTCGACTGTAGCACAGTAACATTCCCCTCTTGTTTTCATTGTGGAGGAAAATGTGTTTTTGTTTTTTGTAGTTGTTGGATGACATTTGCTATGTTGCATGGTTCATAACTTTGGGGTTCTAATGCTGAATATAATATCAACGTCCCACCATGCTCCTTAACGGTGTTTAAAAAGTGGCAAGTTATATTTTAACCAGATTTACAGCAGTATTTGTGGACATGTTTTTGGGTTATCTCTAATGCGTTTCACAGAGACACAAAGACCACTGGAAGAAGTGGGACACCAATAATAACAAAAAGTAAACGTGCAAAACATTTTCAGTTTCTCAGGGAATAATTCATGGATCTTCATCACTGATATCTATGAGTGTGAAATTTTGTGCAGCTTGACTGAATTAAAGGCGACTGTAGGGCCTTGGCTGTGGTCTGAGCTCTACTGACTGCCAAATCAAGCATCACAATTCTTTCACAGTTTTCTAATATAACAGGAACTGATCAAAATGCTAACTTATTTTTGTTTTTGCATCAGGACACTGCAACAAAACCGTGCAGTCCTGCAGAGGAGTCACCAGACATCTGCTCAACAGCGGAAGACCTATCATCACCAATAATTCTCTCTGCCTATTCCACCGCATCGTGCCTTCCACCATCTCCCTCACCTACAGAGTCCCCATCACCTTGCCTCGGTGCGCCCTCGCCTTTGCCGTCCGCATCTGGACGAAAAAGGACGCACAACGACGAGTCCTTATCTTTGAGGTTGGAGAAGCTGCAGGTGGAGAGGATGAAGTTCATGCAACAGTTCAGAGAGAACCAGAATAAGCAGGACCAGCAGCAACAAGACACACCACACACACGGTTTGCTCGGGTTTTAGTGGACATGCTGGCTACAGTTGATGAGGCATACCAGCAAGAGGCCATGCACAAACTGTACCAAGTCATGTATGAGTACACTACAAAATACCCACGGCTGCCATCCTGACATTGTGTTCTGTGCTGTCCTCATTTACTGTTTTTTTCTCTTATCATTGTTGCATTGCATTTCATTGTTGAGTTGCTATTGTTAATTATTATTGTTTGACGTGGGGTTGCATTGCTTTTCACATTGCATTGTGTAATAAAACCTCTGTTTGCTTACCGTATGCTTTTGATTGCTTTAACCCTGCACATGCAGGAGGATTGTAGTGGCTCAAAGATTGGTCTGTGATCGCTCAAGAGACATGGCACCCATTCTCCAGATGAGAACATTCAGTCCCTGCCACTACCCAATATGTTCCGCCTAAACAGCTCATTATGCTCTCTACTTAGCATATTAAATGTAATAAATCTCTTCAGAGTAGTTCTATCCACTCTCCCAAGAACATTCTCACCAGTCCCTGAACAACCATGCTCCTAGACATGTGGAGGCACCAGCTATTTACTCCTCAATATTATTGAGATTAGATTATGCAAATGTCTTGTGTGTAAAAGAAATATTACCTTCAAACTGAAGAGATAATAAGGAGAACTTGATGCTTTTCTTATGTGAAGTAAGGAATAATAATAAAAAAAAAACCATAGGTGCCACAATTTAGCTAAATATTTTATTGCACAATCAACAAGGCCACTTCAGTTCAGGGAACCTCTCTGAATTACATGGATAAGAGTCCTTGCGATGTTAGGAAAAATGATTTCAGGTTATTCCTCGCCGCAATTGCAGCATGGGATGCACGTGTGCAGCAGACTCTCCCTGGGTCTCTCAGGTTAGTGTGTCTTGTCACAAGGCTCCTCCACTCACCAGGTATGAGTTCACCCGATGCCGCTGTGTTGTCCGTGAAGTTGGGTGGGATGTAGCGGCGGCACATTGGAGAATCTGCAACATCACTGTGTGCAAGCATGTTGTGGAGGGCAACACACGCCTTCACGACGTCCACAGCCTTTTCTGGGTTATATTCAATGGGCCTACCCAGAATCTTCCAGCGTGCGACCAAGATGCCAAAAGTGTTTTCAATGACCCTCAGGGCCCTTGAGTGGCGGCAGTTGTAGGTCTTCTGAGCATCATCCAGATTGACACCTGCAACATTTACAAAAGATATTGTAATGAGATTAAACAGAAATACCAATATCAGAGCCACTCTTCATAAGATAAGATGTATTGATGATGATGCTGTATTGATCCCGCCTAGAGGAAATTAACTTGTCATAGCAGCAGATGGTCAGAATGAGGTAGACCAGAGAGACTTTTACAGAGTATAAAATAGAACAATATATGGCAATAAATTTAAAAATATAAAGTAAAACTTTTTATGCAGCAGTCTGCTGCTGAAGGAGCTGCTTAGGGCCCCCACAGTGTCATGTACAGCAGGGATACTGAGAGACAGTCTATATAATTCCATTAGATACGATCACAAAAACTACACTGAATATTCTGAAAATAAATAAGAAATAAATTAAATTGTCATGCATAGTCAACTTTTTAGCCTTGTAGTAACAGTCCCTGGCCAGTGGGAGGGTACTGCAGCAGCCCCCTCAGCAGACTGTGGTCAAGTGACAACCTTTGTCAGAAATTATGGAATAAAGGGATTTTACAGTAGAGTAAAAGATTTGCTCGTCCCGTATCATGGACTACATGCATTTGCCATACATTCTGTAATACGTGCGCACTTGAAATCAGGAAAAGAAGAATTCTGCTCACTTGACCGCAGTCTCAGCATCCCTACCTCCAGCATCCTTGACGCAGGCCGGGCTGAGAGGTGTTCATGATGGATTTCACTCACAAAAAGTGTAGTGCTTAAATGCATTACCTGAGTATGGCCGCATTAAGTTCTCGTGCAGAGGGAAGGCAGCATCTCCCAGGAAGACATGGGGCAGCCTGGTGCTGGAGCCGGGCAGGGTCACAGGTTGTGGGAGCTCCAGAGTTTTCTGCACGAGTCTCGACCCAAAGCGACTGATGCGGAAAACCCTCCTCTCGTTCTCACAGTCATATGATGCAATGTCCACCACCGTGAACCGGTGGTGCGCGTCACAGGCGGCGAACAAGTCAATGGACTGTGCGCCGTTACAGTGGACAGAGTCACTGCCTGTCCTGATGCTAACGCGTCTGTCGTCTATACAACCCACACAGTTAGGGAAGTCCCACAGTCTCCAGAAGTCCTGTGCGATATCCGTCCATTCAGTCCCTTTAGGCAGAGACACATAGTCCTCCTCCAGCGCCTGCCAGATGGCCGAGCACATCTCAGACACGATGCGGGACACGGTGGTCACCCCCAGCTTGTAGCTGTCAGCGACACATTTCTGGCTGCTTCCGGACGCCAGCAGCCTCAGAGTGACCGCCAGCCTCTCCTGCACACCCACCGGGCTGCTGTGGGTCCTGTCCAAGCGGCAACATCCCGGGCTGAGCGCTGAGGCCAATACGGAAGTGCAAATAACTGCAGTTCACTGGGTGGCCACTTGAGGCTGGCTCCAAGAGGGAGTCAATTCCCATTGACTCCCATGTTAAAAAGCCCGACTTTAGAGCAGAATTAAACGTGTTTACAGCCTGGTTCAAAAAACGGTTTTAGTCTCAATCAGTAAGTTCTTCCTCCATGACAACTCTGGGGGGGTGAATTTTTTTCTAACTCGCTCGTTTCGATAATATAGAGGTTTGAAATTATGAATAATTATCACTTGATTGACACGTGACGTCACCGTTAGCTCGTCACTCCGGCTGTTAGCCTGCGGTCTGCTCGGCTTCACATGAGCTAACAGGCTAATCCCCGTCACCGAGCACGAGCTGAGTCTGTGGGGGAGTTTTCACTCACATGTCGGATGAACATCATCGTTTGTTGTTCGGCTGATTGTCCTGACGGAGAAGTGGAAGACGTCTGTGCTGCAGTGTCTGTGGTGAGTAAAGTACTGTCTTTGATTTACGTGTCAGTAGTGATGAGCAGGTATCATTGTTACCTGGCTGGTTAGCTTAGCTCCGCTAACCTCCAGGCAAGATACCAGCAGTAACGGCGATGCTAACGGGAGGGACGGGGGTTATTAACCCGACATGAAGCGTCCACACAGCGGAGAGAGGAGCGTTAGAGTTCATGGTGATAAATCTTTTAAACTGAAGGCGACTGTGTGTTTAGTGAATATCATCAAGTTAGATATCTAACGTTATGTAAAGTTGTTCAGCTCGCCAACCTATTTGGCTTGACTACGTTACTGTGAGTAACTTCAGTAATAATGTTTTATTAGATTATTGGTTCAGAAATAACGTTAGTGCAGCTGCTGTAGTGTGAAACTTATTGAGCTGAACTTTATTTATGAATGAACAGTTTACCTACCAGGTATAGACCCATAACTTACTAACAATTAAAGCACATTATTGCACATGATGCATTACATTATATATGCAATACTTTTAATGTGAAATAACTCCATACTGCACATTCATTGTAGTACACTGTTTAATCCCAAACCATATTCAGATACATACTTAAATATCCACAGAATATAAGGACACAGACTTTGTTTGAAAGTAACACGTATCTCTGCAATAATGCCATACTTTTATGTTTCCTGTCATTTTATTAGGGACGGAGGAACCTGAGGGACACAGCTGTGCTGACCGTGTTCTGTCTCTTATGGCAAAAAAGAAAAGACAACACTTTTTATCTAAGGTTTAT